CCAGTGAGGGGCTGGGGTGTGGCTCAGTGGTAGAGCCCCTGCCTAGACTCCCCCAGTGAGGTGCTGGGGTGTGGCTCAGTGGTACAGTGCTTATCCAGAGTGCAGGAGGCCCTGGGTTCAGACACCAACACTCAAAAACCAGAAACATATCTTGCTGTAGCTTTGTGACTCAGAAGGATGTGTGTGAAAGGAAGTATATAAAACAGATCAGGCTGGCTGTGGAGACATATCAGTATGTGAGGCCTCCAGGGCAGACACTGTGGTACACATCTGCAATCCAAGCACTCATGGGGGCAAAAACATGAGGTTCAGCACACGTTTGAAGTCTTCCAGAGCTATGCAGCAACACCCTGACTGGAAAAGCCAAAGTAATGTGTAAAGTTTGAACTATTATTAGCAGCTAGTATAACTGTGCTTAGCAACTAGTTTGACTGTGTTCAGGATTGGTTTGCGGGGGAGGGGGGAGAGACAGCCAGCATGGGGGGTTAAGAGGAGGTAGAGGGAGGCACTGTGACATGCCCCTGAGGTTACACAGCAGGAAGAGGAGTTTTCTCCATAACTCTTTCATCTTCACCCAGCACCATCTTCTGAGTCCTTCCTTCTTTCCTGCCAGGCAGCGACTGTGCTCCAGGCGGCCTTCAGGGGACATCGAGCTCGTTCAAAGCTTGTACGAAGCAAAGCCCCAGACTGCAGGTCTCCCAGCCCTCTTAACCAGGTAACTGGAAATGGACGGACACTAGTTGCTCCGCCCCTCTTCAGCCCCTCTTGCGTGTCTTCAAGCCCCTTACAGGAATTTCAAGCCCCTTACAAGCCACTAGCCTTCCCGGTTGAGCAGATGAGCCTGGTGCTCTGCCCATCCTGTGGTGGGACAGCCCGGCAGTGGTCCCTTTGACACATCTTAGGCGAGTTTAGCGTTGAAGTCTTAACCAGCATACCCAGTGAATGCAGGAGGGGAGGGAGGGAGGGAGGACACTGTTAGGTGTCAGCTGGGAAGCCCCCAGGGGGAAGATATTTGCCTGGTACATTTGGAGACAGGGTGGCCCCAGACAGCCCGCTCCCCCTTGTCATTGACTGCAGAGCTCTCCTATACCCCGTGTCCCAAGCCCCATCTCCCCAGCTGAGGACAACCCAGCACAAGAGGAGGCCATCATCGTGATCCAGTCCATCCTGCGTGGGTACCTGGCCCAGGCCAGGTTCATGTGAGTAGGCCATAGGCACCTCTGTGCTGAGTTACTTCGGGGATGGTGGATACCCATTTTAGGGCCAACTAGGACTCCAGTAGGACATGGTGTATGTTGTCATGGCACTCTGTGAGAGCCATGGCCTGGCAGTTCACCATAACAACTGTTAGGGTAGGCCATAGGCTCCTGCCCTCTGGAGAAGACCTTTCTAGGATGCATCTCCATGGAGGACTGAAGGCAGCAAGTGGATGTGTGGACACCGTATGGAACAGGGCCCATAAGTGTGTGGGCGCTGAGGGCCGAGCTCTCACGGTGACCTTGGCACAGTGGTACCCACCTGTAATCCTCGAACACAGGAGGCTGAGAGTGACCTGGGCTACATAAAAAAATTCTGATTTAGCCTGAGCTATATGGTGAGTTCCAAGCTAGCCTGGCTACGGAGTGAGTTTGTAGCCACCTAGGTTGTTTAGCAAGAGGATCTCAAAAAGACAAACCAGTAAGACTGACCATCCTGAGCTCAGTGGGGGAGGACGGGGTGCTGAGCTTTGAGGACATGAACCAAGGGTACAGACTCAGGGCCGCAGTGTCAGGGCCCTTGGCACATGTGTCCAGTGTCTCACCTGTGGAGGAAGCTGACCAGTGGGGCCGAGTGCTGGAACAGGCAGGCCGGGTGGTCTGCGTTCCCCAGCCTCGGTCAGCCGGAGCTTTCTGTCTTCCAGTGCCAACTGCTGCCGAGAGATAGCCGTGTCCTCTCAGAGGGGAGCTGTTTCAGTGACGCCCTCAGAATCCATCTCCCCACCATCCCTCGCAGCTTCTCCCGGTAATTTCATTCACTTGGTTCTGACACAAGGGGGAGGCAGCCCTCCAAGGTTTAAGCCCAAAAAAACAAGGCTGAGTCCCCAGTGGCTTGTCCCCAATGTCAGCTGCCTCAACCTAAGTTCATAACTTATGCCAGAGACCCTCGACTCACCCTCCATTGCTGCTGGGACCACAGCTGGGAGTTGAGGCAGTTGGTGGCAGCGGTATGGTCCTGTGCCGACACGTCCCCTGCAAAGCTGTGCAGTTAAAGCTTACCTGGCTTTTACCTCTTCAGGGCTTCTTGGGCCAGGCCTTTTCCTGATTGCTTGTTTAGGGAAACACTGTTTTTATTCCCTTTTCTACTCCATGAGAACCCCAAAGCTGGTTGAAGATGTGCTTAGTGATAGAGCACTTTGTAGTACCCATGAGGCCCTGCTTCCATTGAGAACAGCAAGCAGAGTGCTGGTGGCGCACGCCCTCAATCCCAGCACTCAGGAGGCAGAGGCAGGCAGGTCTCTGAGTTCAAGGTCAGCCTGGTCTATAGAGCAAGTTCCAGGACAGCCAGGGCTACACAGAGAAACCCTGTCTGGGGGAAAAAAAGGATAAAGAAGCTCAGAGCTGGCGAGGGGGGCAGTGTCGATTGGTTGGTAAACTTGCCTGCAGGGCAATAGAAGGATCCAAGTTCAGTTCCTAGGCCTCACATCTTAACCCCCCTTGGGCATGGTGATGCATGCTTATAATGTCAGTACCGGAGAGGAAGAGACAGGAAGGTCCCTGGGGCTCCTCGGCCAGCTGGCTGAGCCAGGTGAGCAAGTTCCTGGTCAGTGAGACACCCTGTCCTAAAAACCAAAAGACAAAATGAGCAACATCTGAGAGATAATACCAAGATTAACCCACACGTGAACAACATGCAAACACGTATGCACACACACACAAAAACACAGGTATATACACGCATATAAAAAGCAAGCCCAGGGCACAGGCAGACTCTGTCCCCAGCTATGAGGGCTGACCCACACTGAGGGGTAGTCCCTGTAGGGCCCCTGCCCGTGGGGCATCTCTCTTCACAAGCAGAGATCTGAGTGAGACAGCCCAGCGCAGTCCACTAGTCCATGGGCTCCACTGTTCGGTGGATGGGCCTGCAACCGCTCCTTAGCTACAGCAGTGGTTCCCTGTGCCTGACATGGTCAAGGATAAGCAAGGAGGCTGCTGGGGACTTTGGGTCGTGTTAGATGTAGAAGTTCGGCTGAGGTTCTGCCCATGCATATGACGGCCCAGGAAACTGAGTCACCTGAGTCCCAGACATTTCTGTGCTGAGCCACTGGGTGTCAGGGGTAGAACTAAGAAAGGCTGGCAGGGTCCGACAAGTGCTGGCTGCCAGGGACAAGAGGTGGGTGGTTGCTGGGAACAACCAGGTAAGTTGGCTGGTCCTGCCCAAGACTGACATGCCTTATACTGAATGGGGTCCATCAGGAAAGGACAGCGAGGCGAGCGGTGGGGAGGCTGCTGAGGATGAAGATGAGGCAGAGGAGCCGCCAGACCTGCAGCCCTACTCAGGTAAATGTGTGTGGCAGCAGTGGTCAGAGCAGTACCTTCCCAAGCAAGCCCCCAGCTCTCTGATGGCAGAAGGAGCACACAGTGAAGACAGGGTCTTAACGCTGACTCCTACCTCACCCAGAGACCTGGCCAGCTGGCCTTCAGCCCGACTAGTGCTCACCCTACTGTTTTTGTCTTCTCTGGAGTGCTTGCGATAAAACCCAAGGCCTTATACAAGCTAAAGAAGTGCAGTTGAGCCACACCCCAGCCCCTTACTGGGGGATTCTAGACAGGGGCTCTACCACTGAGCCACACCCCAGCCCCTCACTGGGGGATTCTAGGCAGGGGCTCTACCACTGAACCACGCCCCAGCCCCTCACTGGGGGATTCTAGGCAGGGGCTCTACCACTGAGCCACACCCCAGCCCCTAGGGGGATTCTAGGCAGGGGCTCTACCACTGAGCCACACCCCAGCCCCTTACTGAGGGATTCTAGGCAGGAGCTCTACCACTGAGCCACACCCCAGCCCCTCACTGGGGGATTCTAGGCAGGTGCTCTACCACTGAGCCACACCCCAGCCCCTCACTGGGGGAGTCTAGGCAGGGGCTCTACCACTGAGCCACACCCCAGCCCCTCACTGGGGGATTCTAGGCAGGGGCTCTACCACTGAGCCACACCCCAGTCCCTCACTGGGGGATTCTAGGCAGGGGCTCTACCACTGAGCCACGCCCCAGCCCCACAGTAAGGGATGCTCTACCACTTACATATCAGTCCTTCATGGGGCAGAGTACTGTAAGCTGAGTCACATTTCCAACCCTTAGTTAGCTCTAACTGGAACTGTCACCCCCTTTATTCCCAGCTGCCCTGTAGGAGCTTGTTTAGGAGAACCCCCCTGCCACACCATGCTTAACCTGTGTCACAGTTGAAACTCACTTCTGCTTCAGCAGTCGCTTTCTGAGCTTTGTCAGAGCTTTACTGTTCTCTCTAAACCCTTGTCTGCAAAGCACAGTGAGCCCTGGGATTTCAGAGAATGCAGACACACAGACGGCGGAACCCCAAAGCCACTGCCAGCCTGCAGTCCCCTAGGCTCCCAGAGGCTTTAGCCTGTTCTCCAAAAAGCTGTCTGTGCTGATTTCACCGGGTCCAGTGTCTGGTGACCTTTAAATTATTTGGTCAGGGCTGAGATGTTTATTTATGCTGCCCTTTCCTTCTCTTGTCAAATCAAATTTTAAAGTGGCAGATTTGTCACCTGTGTAGACTGGCCCAGATGCATCCACTGCTGAGCAAGTCCCAACCCCAGGATCAGTGTCCATGTGAGAAAAGCAAATGACTGGTTCCTTTGAGCTGGTTGTGTTGGCGCTGTGCATTGGTTGGTTTGATGTTGCAACAGGCTCTCAATCCGTGGCCCAGGGTAGCCTTTACCTGCCTGCTTCCTGCCTGTGCTTCCCAAGGCATCCCAGGCAGTGCAGCCACAAGAGCCACACCAGCCCTTGGCTGTACTTTTAAAGAACACTGAATACAGAGGTGCCTGCCTTTAGTCCTGGGAAAGACAGAGGGTAAGGCACTCCGGAGCAGACAAGCGTGACTGTGAGGCTAGCCTGAGGTTAGGAGAGCCTGTCTCTTACAGGAAAGGCAGGGGATTGGAAAGGTGGCTTGTTGGTTCAGAACACTGGCTGCTTTTCCCGAGAGCCCGGGTTCAGTTCCCAGCACCCACATGGTGGCTCACAGCTCTGTGACTACAATGGGCATGTGGTGGTGCATAGACATTTATGCAGGCAAAACACCTGTGCACATAAAATAAAACTTTTTTTCTTCTTTTTGTTTTTCAAGACAGGGTTTCTCTGTGTAGCCCTGGCTGTTCTGGAACTCACTTTGTAGACCAGGCTGGCCTCAACCTCAGAGATACACCTGCTTCTGCCTCCTGAGTGCTGTAATTAAAGGTGTGTGCCACCACCACACGGAATCAAAACAAAACAAAACTCCCTTTTTTTTAAGAGAAAGGGAAAGAGGAAAGGTGAGAGAGAACAGATGGAATGAGAAAGAAAATAAAAACGACTAATGCCACAGGCCAAAATCCCAGGAATCTAGACGCTGAGGCAGGAGGATCATAAGTTAAGGCTAGCCAGAGCTACATAGCAAGACCCTATCTGAAAAATAATGCCCGCCCCCTGCGCCCCCCCAAATGGCTAGGGAGGTTCAGGTAAAACCAGGTGCAGTCAGTCATGTGCTAATCCTAGAACTCCTGTGAGGAGACAGATGGAGGAGGGAGAGACCAGCAGCACACCACAGAGGGACCCTGAGGCAGACAAGCTGGAAGGTGAGGACCCCAACTCCGGTTGTCCTTGGTCCTCTTCGTCCGCACCATGGTACACGGGTGCCTACACAGAGAGATTATGAAATGCAGTAACAGAGGACCTGATGACGGCCATTAAGCGTCCTGCGGCTGCAGTTCACATGAACTGTGGTGGGAGCTGTTGAGGAAGCGCTGGACAGCCATGTCATCTGTTTCATGGTTGGGTTGGAATCTGCTTGTTCTTTTTAAATTTCAAATCGGTAACCGAGCATTCCCCTTCATGGTTAGGAGCAGTCAGCGTAGGGCTCTGTGCCGCGGAGGAGCTGAGGCAGACGGCTGCATCGGAACCTGCTCCCGTGGTCCCCGACTCCCCCCGAGGTGGCCGCGGGGACTGCCCGTCCTCATCCAGTCTGGAGGCTGTGCCCAGTGGGAAGGACACGATGTGCGAGGACAGGAGCAGCAGCACCGGGAGTGCAGGGCCATCCCTGGGTACGTCCCCTCTGCCCACTCTGCCCGCTCTGCCTCATCTCCGCCCCACACCAGGCAGGGCAGGCTGGGGGTTGGGGAGCTATGCAGCCAGGACCTGCTATACACCGGGGCCACTCAGTTGCGAATCCCTTTGCATGGGCTTGTTTTCTGAGCTAATCTTACTCTGTAGGACTACTCTGTAGTTAAGGCTGGCCTCAAACTCACTGTATGACCCAAGCTAGCCCCAGATGTGTGATCCTTTCCCTCCTCCTCTTCCTCCTCCCCCCACTCCTCCTTTAGCTCTCCAGGTGCATCACACAGTAGGCTTGCAAGTGTTTTAATATCAGCAGCTGCCAGACTACCTCAAGGGCAGGAGCCAGCACAAGGCTCTGTAGTGTCATTTGCGGGGGCTCTGAAGGTGGGCCCTTGCCTGTGTGGGTGAGCCTTCAGTCTTGTGTGCCAGGAACTGCAGACGGACGGATGGGTGTGTGGCTCCGGCCCGTCTACACCCTGTGACTGACTCCCAGTGCCTAACTTCCCTCTCTGGTTCCTTTCAGCTGAGCTCTCTCCCCCAAGACTGCAGCCCTTGTCCCCGCCACCTGCGGAGGACATCTGCTCAGATGACTCAGATGACGTCATCTTTTCGCCATTCCTGCCCAGGAAGAAAAGCCCCTCCCCGTTCTAGGACCCCAGTCGTGCCTCCAGGTGAGGTGGCTGTGGGGACAAGTTAGAGGACTCTGAACCTAAGAAGATGGCTGTCTTGCTAGGGAAGAGCCCTGCCTCGCTCGGGAACACCTCGGCCATCCGTTTTCTTATGTGTCGTGCCCATGCCTTTGAGGGATCCTGGTGACTCTGCTCTCTGGGGATGGAGGGACGGACGGACGGAAGGAGGGAGGGTAGCCATCTCCCACTTCCATTTCTGGCTTCAGCCCGTGTGTTTCTAGTGCCCACAGATAACGTCCACCCCAAGCCAGGGCAGCGGCAAGTCCTGCGTGCCCTCAACCTTGGCACTGTCAGCTGCCATGTAGGCCTAGCCTTCCTGGTCCACTGCTGCCCAGTGCCTTCACAGGTGCTACAGTTAAGTCTCCCTTGCCACAGCAGGGTGCAGTCATAGGAGAGCCAGCAAGAAGCTATGGACATCAGGGTTCCCATCTGAGTCCCTGTCGCATGGGCTCCTTGTTCCTCCTGTTCTTATCCCCCACCACCTCCATCCCCCCCACCCCAGGAGGATGAACTCTGGGAAGAGTACCAGGCAGCGGCACACTGAATGGTACAACCGCTAATGAGAAGCAGCCCGAGGATGGCTCAGGTCACCCAGACACAAGGCAGACAGCAGGGCCAGGCGGCAGTCCATTGTCCCAGAGGAGATAATGTCTCAGGGAAGGACAAATTCCAGTACGACCCTGTCACTAGTAGTACAGAGGTACCTGCAGGCCACCAGTGCCATCTGGCCCACTCATCATCCAGCAGCTGGAGGTGTTGGTCCCCTGTCTGTGAAATTAGCCCCTGTCAGTGGGTGAGAAGGGGGGACTTTGGGCTTGGGCAGGGTTTTAGAAGTATCCAGAGTGAGCAGTCATGAGTTGGGGTGGGTTCCATGTAGCTTAGGCCTGCTGCCCAAGTGTCCCCTCCAGAGTGCCTGTTGGACTGGCTGCCGGTGGTCTCCATAGGTCACTGGAGATGGAACTTCCTGGTTTCATAGAACTGGCATTTGTCTCAGGAAAAAACTAATGTTATAAGGTTCCTGCTTGGACTAGCCAGTGGGAACACCCAAGAGGTTTGCTTTTAGGGACCGTTTAATTCCTGGCATCCTTCTCCACGAAACACCTGCCTGATACGGCACATAGCAGGCTGGGCATGGGACGCTCAGGAAGTGAGCTGGGCTTGGCAGTTAGAGACCAGGAAGAGGGGGCCCAACTTTGTCTACCTGCTCCTGGAAGGTTTAAGTACCCCTAATACTGTGATGGGACCAGGCACAGCTGCTTACCCATTTTTTTTCCACCAGGGGGCAAAACACAACACAGCCAGGACCCTGGCTGGCTCATTTGGCCTGTAGGCTGCCTGCCAAGTTAGTTTCTCAGTAAACTGCTGGTTACTTTACACTGCAGCCGACTGGAGCCCTCCGTAAATCTGCTTCCATGCCAGAATTTGGTTGTGTTCCCTGTGATTGATGCCACCTCTGGAAGCTTCAGACCCCACCTGCTAAGGCATAAGACAGCGGCTCCAGGTGGCCTTCCTGTGCCTGTACCTTCCCTGGGGCCAGCAGGGGTCCACATACCGCCCTGTCCCCCCTCCCTGGTTTAACAGCAGCTGTTTGTGCACTGAGTGTTCTGAGTGAGGGAGCTGTCACGAGCTGGGATGGGGTGTTTTCACCTTCACCTGAAGGAGTGCTCCACCTCGGGAAAAGGGGCTGTGCCAGATGGCACCCCAGCTGCAGAGCAGGGCCATCTTGTACACCCAGCCTGGCTAGAAGGTAGCGAGGTCTGCTCAGCCCCTGCACTTGGGTTTTCTACGAACATGCCTCTGAAAAACAGGAAAGCTGTAACCCTCCTGTGCTTCGGTGTAGCAGCTAATCTATTAAAGGTAAACCCTGTTGGAAAGCTGCCCCAGTAAATGAGGGTGCCCAAAGCCTCTGGCTTCGGCAGGTGTCCTGTGTCCTGTGCTCTCCACCCACGCGCCACTGCCAGAGCAGACTGCCCTGGCTTATCGGAATCAGAGAAATCGCCTGGGGGAGGGGCGTGGTAGCCTGTCTGGGGTGTGGGGGCAGTACAGTGAGCTCCCACTGACCTCTCCAGGAGTTGATGTGGGAACTGGAAGTTCTGCCAGCCTGAACTTCACCTGATCTGTAAGACAGAGTCCTTGTGCTTGGCTTGGTTTTGTATGTAAAGTTTCCCAAGCCTGACTGGCCAGCTAGGGCCATTGGTATAACCAAAACTACAGAGGGATGTTATATCCCAATCACCAGGGACTGTGGTAGGGATGGGGTGAGGAGCAGAGGCTGTGGGCTGGGCTAAGCCTTCTGAGAGTGTGGCTAGTCTGGGACACAGCCAGCTGTGGCCTGTGAACTGTAAGTGGGGCCTTAGGAAGCAGCAAACTTCATCTCTGGGGATAGTAGGAGTGGAGACCTTTCTGAGGACCTCAGACCTCAGCATTCAGAACCAAAGCGGGCCCAGGTATGTGAGATGGGTAAGTGACATCACTGTGCCCCACGGCAACACTTCCACATCACCTTGAGCTTAAAGAACGGGAGTGAGCCTTCTGTGTGGGCTGGTAGGTAGTTCATCGCTAAAAGAGCCCATGCTCTCTCTGTGACCCACTCTTTAAGCAAGCACTGACACAAGAAAATATAGACTGTGACCCTGCCCCGTGGGTGGCTGTCCACCTGCTGACTGCCACGCTGCTGCAGCTGACCTGTGTGGACAGCTGAAAAAGTGAATGGCTACTCACACCACTCACACTCAGATGCTTGCAGGAGGCCCTGGGCAGCTCTGGAGAGTGCACAGGAAGCCAGCTGGGCTTGGAGCTCGGTGCTTGCAGGGACCTTATGAGATGCTGTTCCTCTTACCTCAAAAGCCAGGAACAGACTGGAACCACCCTCCTTGAAGACGCCATCCCTGTGAAAAAGCAAGATCCAGGAAACACCACATCCCTCTGCTCTCCTTGTTTCACCTCCGCCCACCAGATGCAGCCGAGGAGGAAGCGCAGAGAGGGGGTTGGTACAAACCAGGCTTCCCAAAACTAGCAAAACAGACAGCAGTGAGCCATGGGTGGGTGGGAGCGAACCTGTGGAGATGGAATTCAAGGAGCTTTTGTATGATGCTGGGGATAGGGCCAAGGTCTTTCTGTATGCTAGGCAAATGCTCTACTTCTGAGCCACACCTCCGCCCCGACCGCATGTTTAATGCAGTATGACCGCAGGGGCATGCAACATTCAGAGTCGGGACTTAGAAGCTGCCAAGACCACAGTCCCTGTAGACCTCTTGATGGGTGACCAGAACTAAATTGCCAGGGCCTGGCGTTTGTGTGAAGTCCCACAGCACGTCAGGAGCTTTTTGTAGGTCCACTCATTTCGTCATCAAGGAGTGACTACCTGAATGCCCCTGACTGCAGGTGCCGGCTGGATTCCGTCTGATAAATGTCTATTTTTGTCTCCCAAGGAAGGAGTGAGGACTGTGGCTTCAGTCTGGCAGAGCCAGAGCTCTCTGTGTGAAGAGCCCAATCATTAGAGAAAGAGGGAAGTTAAGCACAGAACAGATGTCTTTAAACCTATAAATACCTTCCCGGGAATGCGCTCTCAACTTTTGAGGTCTAAATAAAAATTTCAGTATATCCTGGTCAAACTAAGCAAATTCCTCCTTGGGGAGGGGGAGGCAGTGTATGTTTCCATTCCTGTGTAGCTCAGAAGCTCTGAGGGCCAGAGACTTGACAAACACAGCTGACTGACGTGGAGCCAGGCTGGCCCTTTCTTGAGGTTCCCACCTACTCCAGGTTCACAGGGGTCTGCATACAGCAGCCGTAACTGTAACTGACTAACCTGTCTAGTGCAGGCCACGGCTGGGCAAGCACCTGTCAAAGCACCTGCATCAAGAAACCGGAAAATGAAACTCAAAACAGCTCAGGCCAGTGACTTACTGGTATGGGGTTTAACTTACTTGTATGGGGTTAAAAGCATGCACCACCACACCCAGTGGAAGAAAAAAATAATTGTAATTTATAGCCAGCACAATGGCTCAGTAGATAAAGGCACTTCTTGCTACCATGCCTGAAAACCTGAGTTCAGTCTTCACCCACAGGGTGGAAGAGAGAACCACAAATTGTCCTCTGATGTGTATATACATGTGTATGCATGTCATGGCTCGTGTGTGTGTGTGTGTATGTGTGTGCGCACGCGCCCATGTGAACACACGCTTGTGTGTCACAATGAGAACATTTGGGCTTAGCAGTTAAGATCACTGACTGCTCTTCCGGAGGTCATGAGTTCAAATCCCAGCAACCACATGGTGGCTCACAACCATTCGTAATGAGATCTGATGCCCTCTTATGGGGTGTCTGAAGACAGCTACAGTCTACTTACATATAATAGATTTAAAACAAAACAAAACAAAAACTTTGGGCCAGAGCGAGAGGGAGAAGGGAAGGGGGAAAAATAATGAGAACATTTATATTTTTGTATGTATGTATGTATGTATGTATGTATATGTACTTGTTCATGTTTGTGAGAATATTCAAGTGTGTGTGAATGTGTATTTTGTTTGCGCATATGGTACTCTCAGAGGTCATAAGGGAGCATCAGATCCCCTGGAACTTGGAGTTACAGACAATTATGAACCACCATGTGGGTGCTGGGAATTGAACCTCAGTCCCCTGCCAGAACAAGAGGTGCTCTTATTCGTGCTGAGCCATCTGTGCAGGCTCCACTGGACCTTTAGAGACAGTCTTTCATGGACCTGGACCTCACTGAATCAGTTACACTGGCTGGCTAACACATCCAGGGATCAGCCTGTCTCTCCTCCCCACAGCGAGTGTTTCACACGGGTGCTGCCTCACCAAACCGGTTGATGCTGGCAATCTGAACTCGGGTCCTCAGACTTCCATGGCAAGCTCTTTACCTACCTAGCCATGTTCCAAGCCTTTTGTAAAAGTATGATTTTGTAGGTGTATGTGTGTGTGTGTGCATGTACCACAGCATCCTGTGGAGATCAGAAGAAAGGGTGCAGGAGCCAGTTCGTTCCTTCTGCTGTGTTGATAGCAGGGAATTGATCTCAGTTCGTGAGGCTTGGCAGCAAAACCTTTAACCCATTGAGCCTTCTTACTGTCACTTCCGGGCTCTTTAATGGGGAAAAAAACAAAAAACAATAAACAATGTTAAGTCACCCAGGTTGGTCTTGAACCCAGCCTGTAGCCTAGACACACCTTGAATGAGGGACCTTTTTGCGTCAACTTCCCAAGGAGCTAGGAATATAGCCTGCACCAGCCAGCCTGGCTCACACATGCCTTCTTAAAGTCTGGGGAGACTGACTCCATGCCTGACCAGGATGGTTTTAAATATGCCATTTCCCCAAGTCCTCAGGGAACACAGAAAAAAAGAATTTGAATCCTCATTCCTTTCAGCAGTGCTGTCGGGTTCAGAATACCAATGATGAGGAAAGGAACAGGCTGGCCTCTCTGCACAGGCACCCACTAACAGCCATGCCTTCCCATGGGCTCCCTCAAGTTGGACCCAGTTACAGCTGGAGGGATGGCCCTATTAGTCGGTGCCTGCCTGAGGACCCTGGAAAAGGTTTCCATGGTGCTGGGGCTTTCTGAATAAGGAGAAAGGGGTGCCCCTGAGCTACTCGTTAATTAAGCCCAGAACAGCCAGGATTCAAAGAGCAGTCCAGTGTGTGCCAGGGTTCCTGGGGGCCATTCATGGGACCCAGCCTGCGGCTCTCTTCCTCTCAACTCTCTTCCCAGGCCTGGCTTCTAAGAGATGAAAGCAGAGAGGCTGTGGCGTAGGCGGGGAGGGGGCACCGCTGACATAATACATGAGAGAGGCTGTTCCCCAGTGCCGCCTCCATCCACTCCCTCCCTTGGCATATGGGATGCTTCCCTTGGACAGGGCTGGCTGATGAGCCAGGGCTGACCCACCTGAAGTCTTGCCTCATCGTGTACCTCCCTGCCGCCTGCAATTCCTCTACCACTCCAATTGACTTCTTTCTCTGTTCAGTGAGGTGTTTCAGGGGCTGTCCCCAGCATCTGCCCCTCTGGGCACATACAGTTGTCAAACTCGGCTTGACCTAGGCCCCAAGCCTGCTGCTCTTGATCCCGTGAATAGCATAGCAAGCCACATGGTGGACCCTACCAGAACCTGAGGTCACCTGTATTCTGCTACCTCTAAAACAATCCCACAGTGTGAGGTCCTGTGGTCTACCACCCCTGCAGCCCTCAGCCATGTCACCACATAAGCACCTATAGAGGAGAGCCAAGAAGATCTCCCTACAGGCCCCAGGGCAAAACCCAGTTCCCGAAGAGGAGGTCTTGCCATGTTCACACAAGACGTGTAACACACAGACACTTACAAATGTGCAAATCTACATATGCACATATACATGCACATGGCATATGCAGCATACAGACATACAAATGCATGTGTGCACACAGATGGGCACATGGTCACAAAACTGTAGTGTACTCACAAGTATACACATGCACAAATACATGTACAAACATGGAAGCACATGTACATACAAAAATACATGCAGGCTGAGGAGATGCCTCAATAGGTTAAGTGCTTGTCAAACAAGCAGGAGGGCCTGAATTCAATTCCTAGAATGTATTATTAAAATGTAACAACAAAAACAAAACTAGCCAGGCAGAGTGGATCATGCCCTTAATTCCAGCACTTAGAAGGCAGAGGGAGGCAGATCTCTGTGATTTTGAGAACAGCCTGGTCTACGTAGTTCCGGACCAGCCAACGCTACAACATAGTGAGACACTGTCTCCAAAAATAAAAAAACAAAGATCTGAGCAGCACACATATGCAGTCCCAGTGCTGGGAAGGGGATGGCAGGCTGAGGCTTCTTTTTGGCCAGCCAGCCTGGCCAGCTCGAGGCTAGTAAGAGATCCTGTCTCAGAAAAAAAAAAACAGA